TGTTACCAGCAATCGGCTACATTTTTTTTCTAATTATCTTTCATTTTCCTTCAAAAATAAAAATAATCATAAGTTGGTAAATATTACAGTCCTAAAATTAAAATTTTTAAATACAACAAGATATTAAGACTTTTGGTAGTGGATTAACATTTCCACATTACAGCACCTTTCTTAAATATGCAAAACAAAATGATTGCTGAGTAAAGAATGCCATTTTTTTATAGGATAGCACATGATAAAGAAACTTTTTTCAATTCTACTCATAATTAGAAGCTGCTTAATTAGGTCTTTCAATGAATATGTGAATAATGGTTTTTGGTCTCAACATTCACCCAGTATCAGTATATTGCATATAGCATATAGCATATAGCAGTATCACCCATATTGCAAATAGCCTTAAACCAAAATTACTATACAGCAACAATTCTTTATAAATTTGAATACTTCAGCATTTGGCAGTATCACCAGATAACCCGTGAACTTGAACTGATACTACAAAAAGCTTTATCATCAAATCTCTCTCAAACCATTGCACTGGTCACTTTCAATGACCTTTGTCCAAACGTTTACTTTTTTAATTAAATGTTAAATCATTTGATTCCTGACATAGATAAAAAATAAATATAAACATAATATAATAGGCCTATTATTGTTTTAAACTATCAACCGTGTATAATTATTACAGTTATCCAAAAAAGAGTAAAATGGTTCAACAAAGAAAACAAATTAGTCATAATTCTTCATGGTTTGACTATAGCTTAAGAAGAATGAGAAATTAAATTAATTTTTCATTATTTCAGTACAGTAGACTCCCTCTTATCCGGACACCTTTTAACCTTACCGGTAGGCCTATTATTGTTTTAAACTAAGTTATCAACCGTGTATAATTATTGCAGTTAACCAAAAAAGAGTAAAAAGGTTCAACAAAGAAAACAAATTAGACATAATTCTTCATGGTTTGATCATAACTAAAGAAGAATGAGAAGCACAATAATTTTGTTACAGGATCTATTAAAGATAGGTGTACCAAATTATAAAAATAACATGAGACTAAAGAACTATTACATAGAAAAAAAGAAATTGTATAGGTAGGTCCAAAATCAAGTAAGCCAAAATCATGCACAATGAAAGCAGAACAAAAAGTTCTAGGAATAAGTGTTCAGCCGCATGGCATATAATTAAATCAGAAGGTGGTAACTACTGCAGTATCAGCGGGAAAATCCAATTCCACCCATTTCAGCTGATGAATTTAATGATTAATTGGAAAATACCCCCGCCGCAGCGAACCTGCAGACTTAGCGAATTTCCATTTGCCTGATTGGATTTACACTAAAATGTCTCCTTAAAAATATCACATTTATTCCCCATTTAAATAGAATTAGTTCTACGAGTACTTAGGTTTGCTGCAACAGGGAGGGTAAATACCCCCGCCGCAGCAAACCTGCAGACTAAGCTAATTTCAACTTGTCTGATTACATTTTTACTCAAATATTTCCATAAATAAGACTTATTTATTCCCAATTTAAATATTATTAGATTTAATGAGTGCTCAGGTTTGCTGCTACGGGGAAGGTAAAAAATGTTTTTTGGCCAAACGTCGATAAAATAGGATAAAATAAATAATTTGCCAATTTGTATCAACATATATAGGCCTATAGGCCTAGCCTATATCCATAAACAAGTAAACTACAACAGTTTTCATTTTCTCCATAAAAATAAAATAGGAATTTTAAATTTAAATTTTTTTTATTTTCTCCATAACCATTAGACATAAAACAATACTTCAATATACTAAATTACCTATTTCTTTTTTTAAGCTCAACAAAATTGTTGGGAAAGAAATTCCAAAAATTTATGTTTTTAGGATCAAAAATGGGAAAACCTTATTTTCACTCCATAAAACCCCCCATGATCTGATCAGTGTGGTTTGCGAACTCGTTCGAATAAATGTAGGTTTACACATTTATACCAAATTTCATCAAAATCAGATCATTTTTGCTCGAGTTATTGTGCTAACGGACACATATACAGTACATATATATGAATTTTAACGGATGGTGTTTTTAGCCTCTCTAGGGACCTCAAAACAAGAATGTAAATCGGTCCCGGGTCCAGGTCTTACCATGAGTAATACGGTAATAGCTTATTCTCTATATGGGAAATTCGTTAAAAGGTGCTTGATGGTACTAAATTAATTAATAAATGTAATTTGAGTTATTTTACCTTTTTAACCCTTTCAGTGCTATGAAACGATATATCGTTGTTTTAAAAAATCTCTAAGGGATATAGAGAGGAAGGTTATTTTAACAAAAAATAGCAAAACGGCCATTGGTGACCTGCATGTTCATAGGATACACTATCAACCACTTAGCTAAAAGATTCGCCCAATCCGATGATTTCGAGGTGTATGTCTAAACCAAGGATTATGAACACCTCACTATGCCCCAGTGGTTGTAGTATATCGCTACAAACACACAGGTCACCAATTATTTGCCACACAGGACGGGATTCGGACCCGAGCAGACGAATGCCACTGGCCAAGTGACACACGCCCTAGCCTTCTCGGCTATCTGTGCTTGAAGACTGGGGAGTCAAAACCCCGTATTTAAGCTGTCGCCACCGATTGCGAACAGATGGCGCTGCAGATGGTTGTTCAATGCGTTACTAGGTTGCAGCACCAGTTATTCACGGACTATTTAGATGCAATCTTTTAGTTTAAACACAACAGTGATCATAAATGTGTTCCTGAGACTTTGCTGCAAAACATTAGTTTCCCTAAAATGGCTATATTACGATAACCTCGTCCAACTAAATCAAGGTTAAATTTAATATTACATTGTAAACTATATGTCTTTTGATTTTATGAGATTTTGGTTTCAAATAATGCTATCAGAACATAAAAATTTATAGGAAAACCAGGAAAATTACAACAAAAACTAAGTTTTATTTAATGTTTACTACAAATAGCGGGATTTATCTTTCTTATATATTTTCTTATTGTGTTATTATTCAAAATTAGCCTAATTAATAAAATAGTGACAACATGAAAGTTAAAATTCAACAACAGGTAATGGAATTAAAAGGCAAACAAAAAAGTCTTACAAAATATGAATTATTGGCCTAATACTGAAAGGGTTAAACAATGTAGAACCAGCAGGGAAATTTAAGATGCATTTAACTTGTTAGTGAGCTTGATGTGCTTCAAATAATGAGATCTCTGAAACCTTCTAAAAGTGAAGATGTTTTTGATTTTAGTAACAGAGTTATCAAACATATTTCAGTTAAGAGTCCTTGGAGGCTAGCGGCCATCTTCGATAATTTCAAACAGCTGCTGAAGAGTTAGGCTACTAGGCTAATTATCATCCAAAAAGTTTTTTCAAACACCAATGTGATTATAATTGTAATATCTAATATAACTTACTATGAGATTAGAAATTTTTGTTGTTGTTTTGGATTGATTTCCAAGGGACTCCATAAAATCCAATGGCCATCTTGGATTTGCTCGCCATAAGAGCAATGTTAAATTCGTAACCCCATCCCAGCGGTACTCACTAGTGTGGACGTTAATCCACACCAGGGATTATCGCATCCACAGTGCATGCCTATAAATATTCACAATTCGTGACCTCCTACTCGCTGTATTACAGGACGATGCCATGTTCTACCTCATCTTCATTAATAATTTGTACAATATCGAGACTCAACATGCATGAATTTTTCGGCCCAGTCACTTCTCTAGCGTTGTTCTTTATGAGGACAGTAATGGACAAGATGAAAATAGGTAGCCTAATTATGACACTGAGCCGCTGTTCTGTCGTCATCCCCCCCCCCCCCCGATCTGGTAACTTAAAAAAAGTTAAAGTACATTGGCACAAGCCTTTTAGTAATAAAATGTAAGTAGCCTTCTTAAGTAATATTTGTTGTAGGGGGCTACCGTAACTTAACAGATAAATAAAATAGGCCTATGTACCTAAACTTAGGCCAAAGTTATATGCAAAATACCCTATGGTATTTAATTTTTTACTGTCATAATATTAGTATCTTTAGTATCTTTAGAAAAACGCAAGTTAAGATGTTGATTAAGATAACTTACTTAGGTAGGCCTAAGTAACTTCTTAGATAAAAATTAATTTAGGCCTGATGAGTGAACTTTTTTTAACTAGTTTAAGTTTTTTAACTAGTTAAACATGGGGAGTTTAACTTAGTAATTGGAACATGGGGCGTTTAACTTAGTAATTGGAACAGCCGTGGCTATTAATGCTGGTTATATTATCCAAATCCACTTGAGTGCACTTAGGCTAGTTTAGTTCTATCTGTCATCCATCTGTCAAACATGCCAAATGTTAACATGAAATCCAAGCTTAAGTTAGTAGGTAAAAAAATAGGTTAAAACCCTATTTTCCTTTAAGAGTGACAGGAAGACAAATTACAGTGGTGATCTGGCCTAAATAGATGTAGCCTAATTCTTCACAACATCATAACATTTTTAAGGTGAAATCTCATATGTAGGAAAGTACCAAATTTAAACTCATTCCCATTATTATTGCTTAACTTAAGTTAACTTAGGCCTATCTCTTTAACTTAAGTTAGTGGTAAGCTACTAAGTTTAACTTACTATTTATAATAGCGGATCTATGAAGTCTCAACAAAAAGATAGGATTTAGATAAGCCAAGTGAACACCAAAAATGCAATTTCGTTTTTAATTTGTAGCCTTACAAACTGGTTTAGGTCGCTGACACGTTGTCATACGGTAGATTCCCAAGTTGTTAAACAAGCAGAAATAGAATAAATTTATGTTAAACAATAATAAATATAACAAGACACTGTAATAGGTAAAGTTTGAAAATATTTTATCAAATTATAAATTTTACATCAGTATATCAACGATAGATAATCAATAGGCCTTTAAAATAAGAAGTCGACGTGTCACCGTGCCTGGCAATCGGGACTCAAGACGTGTATCGGTCATGAACTTGGGTATAAAACATGTTTTACTTACTGTACTGATATCCAAGAAATCCGTCCTACGACCTTTTAGGCGTTAACTGCTCCAGTTTGCCGAATGTATGTCTTCCTAAAAATTAAACAAAAATGTTACAATACGGAAAATTATACCCTTGATTACAAGTAAAATAACAAACTGATTGCAGACTTACCGAGAGGTAGACATAAAGTGACTGAGAGAGTGAGAGAGACACAGAATTACAGAATGTTTCGTGATTTCTACACAAGTAGCGCTAGTATCGGTTTACAATCCAAATCAGCGCAGAGTGTACAGTAGACAGTGTATTACCTATTTTCACCTCTCAAAAAGGAAAGGGATTAATATTAAGACCATTGAGCATATCCATATTATATGTAATACTTCATCACTCCTGTGTTTCATAGCGTTGGGTAGAGACCCTGTTATCAACAAGAAAAGAGTGTTAAACAACCTAACACACTCGTTTGCTGGCATTGGATCGTAACAATAGAATATTTCATGGTCACTATATTCTGGATCTAAAAACGTTAACAACAATAACGTCGACCGTCGACGACCTTTTCACGCCAGCCAATGAAACTTGCTGGATGTATACTAGGACTCAAAACAGTGCAGTTCACTCAGTAGGCACATAATAGGGGTTGAATTAACCATAATTTACTTTTTTGTTCACATGAATTTTTCTATTCATGTGCTCTTCGATTGTACTGTTTTGGTTACGGTATAATTCCTTACACATTCATTTAATTTTTTAAATTAAATTTTAGAAGAAACAGGCGACTCTTTATTTCCAGCGAACCTTGCAATGTCATTGCTCAAATGGTTGTGTTAAGGTAATCCACGTCTATTCAAATTTAAATATAAAATGCTTGACTGTTCCAAGTTGTTATGTGTTATTTGTAGTGTGGGCGTTAATACTGTGCAAGTTTTTGTATGATTATTATTTTTTTATATTTAGACTCCAGTTTTTATTTTCCGACATTCATGTACTCTTATTAATATCACTATTTTTTATCGATATAAATATATTTTTTTAGTGATATCACTACAGTTTTCTATTTATATCCTATCTCGTGACCTCTAGTGATACGTATCCATCCCAAATCCTAAGTATCACTATGTATTTTCTACTGATCGTCCATTGATACTTCCACTAAGGCCGAGTAGAGCCTCGTCTCCTAACTCCTCACTGAGGAGATACTTTATGACTTACAACCACTGAGCTAAAATTATAACTGGAGGTAGCTGCCATGGCAGAAGTCTGTCAAAAGCGTGTCGCTGATTTTGTTAGGTTGGTATAGCAGTAAGTTTTCTTACCATAGCAATAACATGGCTTCTATAACTAGGTTGGTATAGCAGTGAGTATTTTTGTCATACTTGAATACTTTTAATACTTTAATAATTTTCTTTGAAATGGCGACTATACAAAGTAGGTATTTTAAGCCAAGTATAATAATAGTTATAGCAATAATATGGCTTCTTATGACACCAGACTCACGCAAACATGGCGGCTGGCGACACGCATCTTTGACATTCAGTGCTACCTCCAGTTAGAATTATAGCTCAGTGCTTACAACACGCACTCATGACTTCACCATTGTGAGTGCTGGTATTTAACTAACTATGAAAAATCGCGTGGCGACCGAAAATCAATCGCTCTAAGCAAAACGGCCGCCGTATCAGCGATAGTAGCTGAACGATAATCGCTGTGCGGACTACCGCTTCAGTCGCTCCAAGCAAATAGATAGAACATGACGATGATACAAATTTATGCCTTTAAAAAAATTATACCCGTATCTAGGTTGGTTTTAGCGAATTTCCCTATTAGACCAGGCACGTTTAAAAATAGGGCAACGCAAAAAGCATTTCATGTAACGATTGGAAAAACATTTTTAGGCTAATTCGACCCTGCTGAGTACGAATCTGCCTGTTGCCAAAGCGAAATTTGACCTCAAAACGAAAAAGTAAATCGGTCCCGGGTCCAGGTCTTCATGCGACCTACGGTAATAGCTTATTCCCTATTTGGAAAATTCCCTAAAAACCCCCGTCATCTTAGACAACCAAACTGAATGTTACTAAAGGCGGCTATATGATATATTTCGATATCCATCCACCGTTCTCGACAATGTTTGAACCAATGGTTGATTTATTTTGTTCGTATCTTCTTTAAAATATTACAATGAAAAGATTTTTACTCTAAAATTGCCTTTTTCTCATATTTCTTGTTCTCTTCTGAACATTCAAATCAAACGAGGTCGCGAACCAGCATGATCGGATCATGGGAACGGGGGTTTATGGGGTTTTTTATGGGATAAAAATGGGTTTTCCTATTTTGATCCTAAAAACATAAAATTTTGGGATTTCTTTCCCAACCATGAGAGCTAGAAAAAATAAATAATTCAGTTGAAGCATTGTTGTATGCCTAATGGTTACGGAGATAATTAAAAATGTTTAAATTTAAAATTCTTATGTTATTCTTATGGAGGAAATGAAAACTGTTGTAGTTTACATGTTTATGGATATATGTTGATAAAATTTGGCAAATTTATTTATTTCAAACTATATTGTTGTTTGGTCAAAACACTTTTTACCTTCCCTGTATCAGCAAACCTAAAGCACTCGTCAAATCTAATGCTATTTAAATTGGGAATAAATATGTCTTATTTATGGAAATATTTTAGTAAAAATGTAATCAGACAAGTGGAAATTCGCTTAGTCCGCAGGTTTCCTGCGCCAGGGTTATTTTTGTTTCCCAAACTATTGATATGAAATTAGCGTATACTTTAAATAACATATTAAGTAACTATTAAGTGTGGGCCTAATATTTACTTTAAATAATTTAAATTGAACAGAAAATTTATATTAAAGATTTTAGTAAGGAAACATTGCATTAAAATTCTGTAGATTTACAAAAGTAAACAAAACTTTAAACAGCAGTGGTTCTGTTAATATTTTTGAGTGTGGAGAAATTTTTGCACCATTAATTTTAGCAAAAAATCTATTTTATGGTCATAAATAAATAGAAATAGGTTCCCATGGCCACGTTAATCGCAAGTATTACCAAAAACTCAATTGGTTTGTAAATCCATTGAGTACAGTATGTCCTCACTTACGATCGTGTCTTTACCTGATGACAAGTTAGCAGTTTTAGTCTCAGTACCTATATATCACTTGTTGGAGGCAAGGCTTCCGGTTTTTTCATAACACCAAAAAGAAGATGTGTTTCAAGCGCCCCAAAGTTATGATGGAGAATTTCTTGAAGAAAGTTCCACTGCCAAAAGATTGAAATATTTTTTTAGCATTGAGGAAAACAAGGTTGGCCTTGCCCACTTCCCCTCTCAAGAAATTTTCCACCATATCTTTGGGGCGTTTGAAGTTGTTATATCTGGAGATCTCTCACATGAAGAAGATGTGAGATCAACCAACTCCGAAACTGACGTCAGTACTCTCTGCGACCAAGCAGTGGCCGACACACTCGCTTGTACCGTACTCGTTTTCTGCTCAAATGCCGACAACATCGTTATCATGGCAGGGTGTTCCGGCATCTGTTTGCTTCTGATCAATCAATACGAGAAAATCACAAGCACCAAAGTGTTTAGGAGTCATGTTGATGACAATAAGTGTTGCACGTAAAGTTAGTCAGACTATGATTGTTTTCAAATATGCAACAATACCTGTAGAAAAAGTGGGCCCCCTCTAACAAACATTTGAAATGGGATTCCATCATAACACTAACAAAAACAAATTAATGTAGCTGTATACACTTAGGCAGACTGGTATAATAAATAAAGCACCTTTTCATTTCATTCCACCTATAGACAAGGCTACTAGTGTTCCGAAGGATTGGTCAAAATTGCTTTAGATTTAGTGACAAATTTTATGAACAAACAGATGGTTTGGTTTCCACAGTTTTATTGGAAATATTTTTTGATAAAACATAGGTGTGATACTCCCGTCATAGGGTGATGCAAGGCCCCACTAGAAAAAAGGCCATGCTGCAGCCGCAACACTGTATCACAGTGGTGGATAGTTGTACTTCAATTACAAAATTTCCGGACGTAAACAGCCAGCATATTTACCTAAAACATATGGTATATGGCAGTGAATCTTGGCTGACGTCACCCAGATTGTAAACTTCATTTCACTATTTACAAAAAATTATAAAAACATTAACAATTAAATAAAAACAAATATATATTATTTAGGACTTATATGACAGTTACAATCAGGCAATTTTCTGTTTAAAATCTGGGTGACGACAACACGTTAACCTATGATGAAGTACCGCACCTATGTTTTATCCTTCCACCATGGTTTCAAGTGTTATAAGACAAATTTTTATTTACTTTCGACTTATGACTAAATTAAAGCTGTTGATGATTTAGGGTTTAGAAGAATATTTCAAAAATAAATTGACTTAATTACAACACTTATTGGTTTCGTACAGAATTATCTTAATTTTAAATTTTTTTTACTGCTTCATTAAATGGTAGGCCTAAAACCATGATTTTTCTTCATATTTTTTAAAGGTAACTAATAACAAATTATTACAAACACAAGTAATACTTTTATTGTACACTGATATAAAACATTAATTAAAGTAAGTTTTTGGACAGGTAAGTTGTATTCACACTTGCTGTATACCTATTTACATACATTTTCCACTTATTCACAACACATTACTGTTAAGGGAAAGACAAGAGAGATTACTGCATTGGTCGCTCATCTCCTCTGATTGCTCGGTACTTGGCCAGCTCGTTAGGGAACACAGTGTTGAGTTCGACCATCATATGAGCCTTGAACTTGCGATAAGCATCGATCTTCCCTTTGACCTGCTCATTTTTAGTGAGGGCCTTCTCAATGCAGTCCTTTGTGTACAGCTGTGGATTGCGCCCATTATCAATGTAGCTGTAACAAAATTGATGTTACCCAACCTCTATCACAATCCATAGAAAGAGCAGCAGCAAAATTTCGGAATGGTTGTGAACATCACTGTGGATTGTACTGCACAATAAATGTACTCATAATGTATGTAAAAATTTAAAATGACTATTGATTATAAAAACGGTTTTGTAATATTCCATGTTTTAGTGGTACCTATTAATCCATTCAACTAGATCCTGTTAGTGGTTTCAATTTTAAATGCCCACTGACACACTTAAAACACTTTACACTAGCCTACATTAAACTAAATGTGTCATGAAAATTAGGCTGGTCTTTTTTTAGTAGTTGATGCAACAGAAGGCTTGTACCTTAAATGTTCTACTCGTGTCTTTAACACTATATTTACGCGAGTTGTGTACACTACTTTACCTACGACAGTGTTTAATTACTAAAAATCACTACTCAAAACTTCTAAGAGAGGTTATGTTTTTGTTTTTAACCTCTCATTGCCACTGACAGTATTGCAATGAAACATTGTACCAAACACTAATTGCACCACTCAACAATTAAATTGGCCTGAACAGCTGATTAATTGAGGTTTGAATCATTGCAATTTTACTTCTTCTCTCTCAATCCTTGAACCTCATTGGTCCAATCGTTACCTGTGTTGTTATGAAAGAAAACAATGCTGTTATGTGAAACTTTTTCCATTCTAAGACCTGAACTGAAATGGTCAAAGGTAAAATAACTTATGCTTTCTTATAATTAAGCGCATTCCTTTGTTAAAATGTTTTATTATTTTTTAATAAATTTTTATGTTGTTTTAATTTTATATCTATTTTTACTGATTTCGGAAAGGTTTACAATCCTATATTCTAATACGAGTACCGGTAATGTTTGTGTGTATGTTTGCACAAAGATTTCAAAAACGGCTACGACGATTTTCTTCAAATGTTGTAAGTAGTTTATCTGGCCTGAAAACAAGTTTACTGCAGCACAGAAAACATATTACTATAACCCAGAATGCCAACTGCATGGTAAAAAGCATTAAGTGTTTTGAGAGAGCTTTGTCTGCCAATCGTAGACAGCGCCACCAGCGTTGCCATGCACTCAGCATAGCAACGCTGGTGGCGCTGCCTACGATTGACAGGCAAAGCTCTCTCAAAACACTTAATTTTGCTTAGCCTTCTTTATTATCTTAAAAGGTCTTGCTTCTGATCAAGGGATCTACCAACTAGCCTAGATAGCTTGGTCTAATAAAAATTCTCCTAATTTTTAAAATTGTTCTATTTAATAGTACTTACTCAAAAACTTCTAGAGGCACGTGAACTTCCTGGACCTGATTTTTTAGTTTATCAACTTCTTGCAGTCCATAAACCAAGGATTGTCTGAAACACACAATGTAAAATTTACAAAACCTTTAGGCATCCTGTGCTATGAAATAGTCTAGCCCTTTTATTAAGTTAAAAGATCACATTATTGAGGGGAAACTTAAAAAATTTGATGCATGCATATTTTACTCAGGCAACTAATTTTACAGCACACATTGGCAGTTTTTTTTTTTTTTTATTTCAAGCTTATTTAGATAAGTTTTGGCCTACAAAAATTAATTTTTACGAATAAGTTCCCAACAAGCTGCAAAAGACGCACAATGCTTGTTAGTAGTTAATGAAAATATTATAAGATACAATCCTTATTTCAATATGATCCAAACAATGCGGTAACCGATTTAAGTAATTTTCAGGACACCTAATTATGGCTTATGGTCCCAAGAAGCGCTCTTAGCACGACCGACAGGAGCGACGCCGCTGTTGCTGCTCAGCTAGCACACTCCCATTACTTGCCATGTGTTTGTATCTGTCGATATTGTCAGTAACGCCGCTCTTGCCGTCCAGCTAGGACGGGGCCTAAGACTAGGATCTTTGGTTTGGGTGAGCACACACTTGTCACCGCTTATTTTACAATATATTATACAATACCCATATATTATTACAATATTATAAATTTACAAATATTGTCATATATTATAAATAGTATTGCATATGTAAAGAAGATGAAGAAATCGAGTTTTTTTGTGGATCTTGATCTCTAAAAAACCAATTTTCGACTACCACTAGATTCATTCCGGACCCTTTACAATCGATAGTGCTCGTCAAGAGGAGTGCAACGAGTATATTATTGCATATGTTAAGAAGATTACGAAATCGAGATTTTTTGTGGACCTTGATCTCTAAAAAACCAATTTTCGACTACCACTAGATTCTTTCCGGACCCTTTACAAACAATAGCCTAGTGCTTGTCAAGAGGAGTGCAACGAGTATATTATTGCATATGTTAAGAAGATTACGAAATCGAGTTTTTTCGGTGGACCTTAATCTCTAAAAAAAAAAATTTTCGACTACCACTAGATTCTTTCCGGACCCTTTACAATCGATAGTGCTCGTCAAGAGGAGTGCTACGAGTATATTATTGCATATGTTAAGAAGATTACGAAATCGAGTTTTTCGGTGGACCTTGATCTTTTAAAATCCAATTTTCGACTATCACTTAATTCATTCCGAACGCTATACAATCGATAGGCCTCCTCAAGACGAGTGTAACTATTATAAACAGTTATAAACTCATTAAACTCGTCTTGACGAGCAATATCGATTGTATAGGGTCCGGAAAGAATCTAGTGATAGCCGAAAATTGGTTTTTTAGAGATCAAGGTCCACCTAAAAAACTCGATTTCTTAATCTTCTTTACATATGCAATAATATACTCGTTACACTCGTCTTGACGAGCACTATTAATTGTGTAGGGTCCGGAAAGAATCTTATGAAAGTCTAAAATTGGTTTTGGGAGATCAAGGTTCAACAAAAAGACTTGATTTTGTAACTGTGTTAATATATACAAATATATACTCTTTGCACTCGTCTTAAAGAGCACTATCGATTGTATAAAGTCCGGAAAGAATTAGGTGATAGTCGAAAATTGGTACAATTGGTAAAAATTGGTAAAATTGGTAAAATTGGTTGGAAAATTGGTTACCCAAAGGCTAAGAAAGCTAGAGCAGAATTGAGGCTCTGTATGGTGGAGAATAAAAAAATAAAGAGATATCAAATGAACCGCTAGCAATCAGTGGTGTAGTCGTTAATGTTCCAGTGTAGCTCACCATTGTTGTAGAAACAACATGGGCCGCCTATCAATATATAGGCTTTTTTTTAAGTAGATAAGGAAAGACGTTCCCGCACCCCTACACCACTGATTGTCATAATCTACACTCCTACTTGAAGAAACATGTGTGACATTTGGGAGTGGCCGTTTCTGTTGGCGGGAAACACAATTTACATTAGCGATAAAAATAACTCAAAACTTTTTGGGTATGAAGCCAGTAAGTAAAGTTATTCTACTAATTATTGAACGAGGACTGAAACAAAGAAAGCAACACATTTTTTTGTACTTGACTAAGTTTAGGAATATTCATAATTTAACTGATTCTATTGCCAAATATACCAGAGCATGGTTGGAGGTTGATGCTAGAACATAACACAGTCTCATTTTACGTACTCTTGTCACTATCGTCACCACGAATACTAGAAAATACCCGGTATTTATCATAAACATAAACAAATGACGTTTTTGGCTCTAAAGTAAGCAAAACCATATGATAATTAATGCTATTAGTATAGAGGGGTTTTGTTTACTTTCAGACCAAAAACATCATTTGTTTATTTTTATGATCCACTTTGGGTATTTTCTAGTATTCGTGCATGGAACAGTTTAAAAATATATAATAAGTTGAAGAACCTTGTCAAGCTTAGAGTTAATAGTTGTATGGAATCATTTAAATGCCTGCTACAAACATGACTAGGGATCGATTTGTAAAAAATGAGGCTGTAACCTATTTAATGTGATATCTACCCTATTTATGCCAATATTTTTATCTTTCCGAAAGGGAGGTACCGGGACTCTGTGTTCCCCCGCAAATCAAGCACTGTCCCTAACTTATAATAAATAGGCCTAGCCTAAGTTGGTGATGAAAATCGATAAACTGTTATTTTTAACATTTTTGTTTGACAATAGACAATTCTTTATTCAGTTAAACAATATTACCTTATTGTAATAGGAAAGGTCAGTACTATTTCAACACATTTAAACTATAATTCAGTCATCGTTATGAAACATTAAACTGCAACTGTTGATACAAATGACATTTAAGGTTTTACTTCAGCCTAACATGGGGGGTGGACAAATCATTTCTATTTTTGGTTAAGTGTACATGACAGGAAGCTTGTGAAGAAAATGAGTTTATGTTTAGTTTTACATCTAGGAGGTTACTAAAAATATACAAATAAACGGTATCAGAATTCTGACACATACTTTCTCCCATAAGTTTGTCAACAACCTTTATCATGTGTAAGCGGATAGAGTAAATATACGGAAATGGGATTAGTACAATTTTGATCAGAATTTAATGGACTATAACATACTAAATTTTTATCAAAATCGTTCGGGCCATTTTTTGTGAAAATCCGATTTTTCCGTTATTTTATGGGGTTTTTATGGGAAAATAAGATAATTTGAAACAATAACTTTAGAACCGTATTTTTTTACAGAAATGGGATTTGTACCATTTTGTTCAGAATATTAAGGACTAGGCTTATAACATACTAAATTTTTATCAAAATCGTTCGGGCCGTTTTTGGGAAAATCCTATTTTTCCGTTATTTTATGGGGATGGGAAAATCCCCATTAAAAATCAAAAAATGCATGTAAAAAAATCGTTACACTAATAAAAGACGACGTGATGAGCGCGGGCAATGAGCTACAGCGGCTAGGGCATAGCCACATGAATACAGAACGGAAGGAAGGTACTAGAACGGAGAACTGGCAACAGCGCACGCGAGAAGTTGGGGGGGGCGAACACACCGCTCAAGCGCTGCAACGCATTAGTGGCATCCTGTCCACACACTGTTGATTTATACCAATTTGTGGTTGATTTGTACCAATTTGTTATACCAATTAAAACTGTAATGACCATGACATACTAGCCTATGTAAAATAAAAACCAAATTTTTTCTAAAATCCTGTTTTTCGTAGATAATTTTATGGGGTTTTTATGGGAAAATAACATATTTTACCATAACTTTTGAGCCGTAATTTTTAGAGAAATGGGATTTGTACCATTTTGTTCAGAATTTTAAGGGTTACAACATACTAAATTTTTATCAAAATCGTTCAGGCCATTTTAGAGAAAATTTGATTTTTCCTGTTTTTTATGGGAAAATCCCCATTAAAAATCAAAATTTCAAAAATATGAAATCAAACGCCTGGAGATACCATGGATTAGAACATACGGTACACCAAATTTCATCGAAATCGGACCACAGGTCTAGTCTCTAGCTCTGTCCACACCCAGACAAACAGACACACAGACGCACACACACACATAACTTACGGGGTTTTACCGAATACTCGCAAACACCTAATTGTGGCATCTTTCAAACTGCGGCCACCAGTGGATGAAGGAAGGTGGTAGAACCATGTGTGCATCGATATTTTTAATGAACACTCCATTTTAACATCTAACATTCCAGTTTTTAATTGTGGCACCTTGCCACAAATTGGTATAAATCAACAGTGTGTGGACAGGATGCCACTAATGCGTTCCCAGCGCTTGAGCGGTGTGTTCGCCCCCCCCCCCCCCTACTTCTCGCGTGCGCTGTTGCCAGTTCTCCGTTCTAGTACCTTCCTTCCGTTCCGTATTCATGTGGCTATGCCCAAGCCGCTGTAGCTCATTGCCCGCGCTCATCACGTCGTCTTTTATTAGTGTAACGATTTTTTTACATGCAGTTTTTCCAAGCTCCAATGATTTTGACAATTATTGGATTTAAAGTCAATGGACCAAATGAAATGTTGTGAGGATTACATAAAACTACATGCTATGTCGTTGATATTTTATCGTCACATTGTATGTATGGTTTGCGAACTTAGATACTTGGATTAAAGGCCTTAATTTGCTGGGTAAATTATCAGTTTCATGGGAATATAAAAATACGCAATAAGTATGACTCTGTAATAAGTTTTTTCTTTATGCATCGAATTAATTCATGGTAATGTAAAAGTATGCGTAGCAAATTTTTCACCACACTATGATGTTTTTAGCTGTTTTACATATATGTTAATTGGGGGCTGAAAGTTACGTTTTGCTGGCCAAGCCAGCTGTCATCGTCATATAGGGGCCGAGCAGGGGTTTACATCCCTAGGGCCGCAAAATCACTTGTTCGCTTATTTACTTAAAACATTAATGTATATTAAATGCACAAGCTGTATCCATGGCATTGCAATAGACTTGTTTTTATATAGGATAGGCTACTGTTATCAACTTTTGAAATTACTGAATAATTGTTACCGTACCAAATTACTGTTTCACAAAATACAGATTCCATTTTCAGCCGAGCCATTAAAATGAGGATTTGCCGAACAATTATTAATATTACAGAATAGTATTTAATGATATAGCCTACAACTTATTTAAGTTATACAACTTTTCACATTTCATAATTTAGGTATATGTTAGTTTTGTTAGGTATGGTCAAAGATCCAAATGTTTTTTTCATTTGGTTTTTATGTAGTAATTTGCTAGAATAAACTAACAACCTCCTACTAAACTAACTAACTTTACCTCCCTAATCTAACCTTACTTTAAAACACTTAGGCCTAATGTAGCCTAGTCACGAATACTCATAAACCCCGACCTACCTTCCCCACATGCACATTAGATCAGTGTTCAATCTGCGTTTTATAAATAAGTGTAATAACTTACTGCACCGTCGATGTAATTCTACATAATATAAACCTAACCTAACCAACCAAACTTGCTGATAGTGAAAAAATCTCATGAAGGTTTACTTATCAAATCGATAAATTCAATCGATATTAGCATAGCCCAGTTAAGAAACTGTAGCCTACCCTTCCTTGGTGTGAAACTGATAGACCTAGGCCAAGTCCAACTTACATTTTTTGGTTGAGAACATTCTGACCCTGTGGCTGAAAATCTGCAACGATGATTCTTATCTGGCGGACATTTTCAATAAAAAGTTCTAGTTTAGATTCCAAATCTTCCAAAGGTGATGCCATCTTGAGACAAAGTTTTTAAAAATCTACACCTTACTACTTTACAACTCAGAACAAAATAGCAAAGAAAGACAGCCACCAAAGCTATTCAACAATTCAACGCAAAGGGACTCACAACCACAACACAACAACTAGTCTAGTCAACAGTCAACACAACTCAGATCAAATTAAGTCAACTCAACACTGTCAACAGAACAGACAACTACACTAACAACACTGAAGTACTGACTGAACTGAACTGAAACTGAGATGAGAGTGAGATTGAGAGGGGAGGGAATGAGAACGAAACGGATTCGTGGACAACCCAAACCCAACAGGGTGGGTTCCATAATATCGACAACCGTAGAAATTGATCGAAACTGAATTATTCCCAGTTTGTCGACACTGGAATATTCCCACTTAACCGACATCCCAAATAACCGACGTCGCAAACGATCGACACCACAAATTGTCGACATCCCATATTGTCGACAATGAAATAGTTTCACTATGTCGACACTGAAATAGTCCCAGTATATCGACAAGCACCCGTTCTTCGGAGCTACTCTTGAAAAGGAGTTGTTCTAATTCATCGTTCAGTTCCTCAACTCATGAGTCGTATCGTAATATTTGTTGATTGTTGATTCCGAAATCCGAATTCCGACGGACATCTTCAAGCTGGCCATTTATTGACTAAAAACTTTTATATTGTAAATAAGTTATTTATCTTTTTTATTTCTTTCCTTGTTTACAAGAAAATAGATGACTCGAGTGTTACAAACAATAGTTTGGAATAATGTGAAATAAGTTAATTTTTATAGGATAGAAAACTTAATCAACATGATAACTTATTAACATTAAGTAGTCCTACCAGACACTAACTTAGGTAAGTCACCAACAAGAACCTAAGATACCTTACAGCTTATTCGTAGGCTAATTCTGGATCATCAAGCAATATTGTAGCAAATGTTTGAATAGGCATTATCCCTAGGCTATTAGGATTGTCTCTTTTTCCCACTGACCCAGTGTCAACTTTAAGAATTTGTAAAAATATTTGGCTGCACTTTAGTTTATGTCCTACATTCATTCAAATGAAAGATATTAATACATAGGCTATTTAATATTTTGAATATTTCATTCCGTTAGGTTAGGTTTTACCCTAACATTACCCAAAATTGATCTAGGCCTAAGTTTATTGAATGAAATAATCAATATGACTGGGACGGGTGGGGTCGTCCTGTAATCCAGCTACTAGGAGGTCACGAATTGTGGATATTTATAGGCATGCACTGTGGATGCGATACTCCCTGGTGTGGATTAACGTCCGCACTAGTGAGTACTAAGACTATCCGCAGTACTATCCTGATAATTAGACCAATTCGTATATACCAAGGCAATAATGTGGTTTGGATTCCACTATAAACCGTAGGTCCCTTAGTTGCCATTAGCTGTATGGGCTATTATTTAACAGCTGTGTTTAAGGAATGTTGGCCTTAGTCACTAACAAGACTATACAAGATCGCGCCACTCATCCTACACTCATTTCCATTCATACTTGGCTTAAAATACAGTACCTACTTTGTATGGTCGCCAAGTAATAAGAAAGAAAGTATTAAAGAAATGTATTCATTGGAATGAGTGTAGGACGTAAAATTATGTGCTGTCAAATATTCTAGAGCTGTTTGTATTTGGTGTAAGACTAGACTTGGATTATGTAATTCATTGCTCATGACATCAATGTTAATTGTTAATTTTATAGATGATCCTGGAGCAAAGGCTGTAATTTGACCTGAACCCAAATTGGTCTCTATTTTAAATATTGTCTTGAACCAATAAGTTAAGAGGACTAACCTTTCTGGACGACATTGCCATTGACATCACTGCAGATGAGAGAGAAAGAGAGACCAGAGTTGTGGACCCTGGAGGCAATTACCATACTGCCATGATAATGTTACTTGGTCTAACCATAACTTAAGTGAGGTGAGTCAACATTCTTTCCCCTTTGTGAAAGTGCAAACTGCCTTTGCTGCACTCGAGAAACTTTCCACACTCGCCTACGGCTCGTGCGTAAACATTTCTCTTATGTGTAGCAAAGTGCCACTTCGCCCACTAGTTACCTAGTAGGTAGGTAGTAGTAGTTACCTACACAAAACTAACTATTATTAATAGTTTTATTGGAACATAAGGATAATTAATTATAATCTTTATGCAAATTTATAGTTTTTTATAAAAATTTAAAACTAGGCCCTACTTAAAATGTATTTGGATACATCTCGAAACATGTTGTTTGGAAATGTCTTAATTAGGCTAGAGCTTGCATTTTTGCAAATTGGGAAATAACAAATAATTAATGTTTAACACGTTCGCTACCGAGCGACGCACATATGCGTTGGTCCGGTCACTCCTACAGACCAAAAGGAATGATCATGACGTTGCTTACAGACCAAGTGATATAGGAATAACATTGCCAACAGACCAAAAGAGAAATATCGTTTTGATGGACAAATTTACTTCATATTAACCTTAAGTGAATTGTAACCTTTTGTAACCTTTCCCAAATTTGCCTCAGCTTTCTCAGGGAGAAGGGGTGGTCCAACTCAAAGCTTACACCTTACTAAATAATCCAAACTGAATGTTCTTAGTGTTTATTTCTGGGCGCCACCGTGTTGTAGAGTAGAATTTAAAACAGGGTCCAACAAGGAAGTTCTCCTGTACTCATGGGATGATATTTTGGATGAGATAACAAAAAGAAACAATCAGCTGGGCGGCTAATAGCTTACCAAATTCAAACCAAATATTACTCCAAAATGACAACAACAATAATACTATTATCAGCAAGTTCACTTATAATCAGTAGTAGTAAATGGTTACCCAGTTTAGCATAGAACTCACCTACCCCTTATCAGTTGATGATATGATTAGATAACTCAGGCTATATAGTTTACTACTAACCAAGAACTTTTGGGTAGTTTACTAAGTTCAAAATCCTTTTAAGTGTCAAAAGTAATCAACCAATCAATAATTAAACCAACTTACAACAATAAATTTTTAAACTAGACAGTACACAGGAACACAACAACGCTTGTGTACATGGCCATGCTAGAGAATTTATTATACCAAATATGATAATACACAAGGTCAATAGAACAATAATTTATGATTTACATTCCCATGCAACCAAGGATCTAATCCTTTGAAATTAAGGCAATCAAGAGCAATTGACAATCACTAGCAATTAACAAATAAATAAATAGATAAATCAATTGATTTGTGAATACAGTATTGCAATCAATGTAATATCTTTTCCCTCTGAGGTGTGCTCAAATGGCTGGATAAGAAACCGAATATAATTCTAGATCAGATAATCCCCCTCCTGTAGCTCAAAGCATTCAATAGCTCACCTAAAATGCACAGTTTCAAAGACATATAAATACAATCACAAACACTAACCAAAATCTTACTAGCTAAATTACAAACACATGAAAACTCAATGACCGGGGCCCCATTTAACCTAAAAGATTAATCCGGGCAGGCGTGAATAGTCCAAGTGTCTTGGGCTGTCCTCCAATAAGTCCTTGTTAAGTCCAGGCAATAAATAATAGGTAAATATGTCACTCACCAAGTCCACCGCACAAGGTAGCTATCAAGGGAATTCCGGTCTAGACCGATTTGTCTCACACAAGTAGATAGCACACAGGTCACGGGGTCAATGAGGTCCAGATAGGTGTGAAGATACTGGTAATCACAGTAGGCAAGTCCTGTAGGCTGTCACAGTAGATCCTCCAAGTATGGTGTGAAGGGCGCACAAAAACCCTGTACAATAAACCCAATAAATAGTCTTAAGCAATTACCGAAATATACACATAAATGCTGTTACATAATTATTTAATCCTTTTACAAGTTCACCATAAAATAAACAATTATTTTAATTAATCCGTCATTAAGTTACCCTACACTATACTTTATACAAATAAAACATTAATTGTGTTGGAAGTAAAACAAACAAATAATAGATTAAATTGAATATGTTGAATACAAATATTCTGTTTTAAAGTACTGTACTGATATTTACATCAAGGCCTACTGCAATCCAATTATTATTTGTTCAACAGAATCTCCAATTAAAAATATTATACTCAATATGCGATACATCATTTAAATTCATCAGTTAGTTGAATACTAATGTGTGCTACATAATTCTACTTTAATAACATTTCCAACTTCAAACTATTTACAATATTTAAATAACTCATTCATTTGTTAACTATTAATTTCTCAGTAATACACAAGATTTACATACAGTTTAATATACTTTGTGTGTTATCCTTTCATGAGTGGCAATACAATATTATTTATCACATATAACACATATTCAGTTTCAACTAATTAATTGATAATATGTTACCCTTCAAAACATTCAACAGAACAAAGCTAACATTTAATTGAACACTTTTACAAATTAAAATAAATTAACTCTAATGCAGTTCAAACCAGTGTATTATTGTTTCTTTTTTTTTAGTTTACCTCTTTAAGAACTAAAGTAGCATATTTACTTGTGAATGAAATTAACATTTTTTTAAAAAGGGTACTGAAATAGTAATATCAATATTTTTATATGACAATTAATTATAATTTCAAAGCATTATTTATTCTAAGAAACAGTAGACTAATTTCAAAAGATAATTATTTCTTCAATTTAATTTAAATACATGAATAAAATATTCACATTGTTGTATTATTTTCCAGACTAACTTGATATAGATTTTTAAGTTATTTTGGACACATGAAAACGTTTAAAAATACATTTAGGGGCGGTTTGGGAGCTCGGTATTAGCGCTAGTCCGCGACTAAATCCGGATATTTCCGGTATTTTAGGCTGCCGCCTCGAAAACGGGTTTGTGAGCTCGGGATCAGTAAGGCGCGCGCCTAACTTGTGCAGGGATAATCTCGCGCCTAAATGTTGTTGGTTTGGGAGTCAAGTAGACTTAGGCGCCAGCCTAAGAGATAGTTTCGGTGGGTTTGGGAGACCAATTTCGGGACTAAGAGATATGTTTTCGTCATAAAAATCAGTGAGTTTAGTCCCCAACTTTAGTCCTGCCAGGGGGCAGGTCTAAGTCGACATCATGCCGGTATTAGCTCATTAGCAAGTTAATTGTTTAC